ATATATATATATATATATATATTATATATATTATAGAAATATAAATCTATATATTTACTGAATATAAACTACAGATACTGACAATAAACTCTATCCTCCATATCAACTGAGTTGCTCGCTTGGCCGTGTGTTTTTCTTGTTTCTGTGTTGTCCACATCATCATAGGCATCAGTGGCATGTGTGCGAGTCCAAGCCATTCAGTCGTCGTACCAGAGGCCACCCCTCAGCCCTTCGCCCATTCAGTCCCACAATGCACTGCTGCACCTCAACGTCTCAGAGCAGGACTACTGTGAGCTGGACCGCAACATCCTACAACTCTGTGGTAATTTCAACCCTCACATTTACACACACACACACACACACACACACACACAGGGGTGTCATGTGAGAGGTGGCATATGCTAATAGAGAAGATCCATGTGGATAAAAGACCCATATGAATTTAGATGGACCCTGTCACTGGTTTATGGGACGTGTGACAACTCCTCTGAGGAAGCTGGGCTCTTTGCAAAAAAAAAAAAAAAACACTGTTTAAAAGCGAATGCATAATTAAAGTGGACTCACTAATACACATGCGGCGTCGTACAGTGTTTACTCTCTAATTAAAGTGTGGACAAATGTGTGTCGCGTCAGTTTCACTCCCGGTCCCTGCTTCTGGTTTTTTTTTTTTTTTTTTTTTTTTTTTCCCTCCCCAAACACAACTTTTTACAGACATCAATCCGTCTCTTGTCTTGTTCTCATTATTAGTCCCTGTGTTAGCCGGCTCCCGTTCACCCCTCCATGACCTCGCTGTCTTGATGCATCCCTCTGTGGATGGCCTCCTGTTCACATGCGTACATGTACACCGCATTCCTGTCCTCCTTCACAACACTTGCTGTCCTTGCTCCTTTCTGGCTTTTACTCCCATCACAGCCTCTCACTCTCTCTCCCTCTCTCTCTCTCTCTCTCTCTCTCTCTTCTCTTTTAGGTGAGCTCTATGACCTTGATGCAGCCTCTCTCCAGCTCAAAGTCATCAATTATGTAAGTGGTGGAGATTGCTCATACACTCCCACACAGTACACACACACACACACTATATTAAAGATGTACAGGATATGCAAAGCATTAAAAATCCTTCCTGCCGATTTCCCCCCTCCTCCTGTCAGTACCCGTGCTAGGGGCTTTTTATCACACAATTACTTCATCAGCACCCACGAGTGTACCTCGCTTCACGTATATACATATGACATATGACATGGGCCATATAAAAAGCAGCGGAGCAGGTGAAGGGGGAGCAGTGATCGATTGCGGCGAAGGTGGAGTCATGGATCAGTGGGAGGAAGAGAAGAGGGAGAAGATTATCAGGCTGCCGCTTCAGGAACTTGACAATTCACATGTGTGGAATTATTCACAGATTGAAAGTGGAGATAGACGGGGACAGAAAGGAAACGGGGAGATTTAAAGATCTTAGCTCATCAAAGAAATTCCGACACACAAGCACGGCCCAGTGCGTGTGAGAAAGGAGGAGTGGCGGAAGCCAGCAAGAAGCCAAAGCAGGTGGATTTGGGCACAGCACGAAGCAATTTTTTTTTTCATACGCCACTGAGTGTTGCCGTTGCTGCTGCTGCTGCTGTTGCTCCAGATTTGTTTCTAATACTGTTTTTACACCATGTTCCTGGTGCATGCAGCAGCGGGAAACTAGCCAAACAAAGAACACCGCTTTACCATTTCAAAAAGATGTGATGGTGAATTTGGGGTACAGCAGTAGGCTAAATGACTTCCGCTTCCGCTTGAATTCCGCGTGGTCTGATTGGATGAGAAGTGGGTGCGGCATTAGGGCAATGCTGAGCAGATTGCAGATTTCTTTTTTTTTAATAGATTACATAGCATTTCGGAGCAGATTGCAGATTTCTTTCTTTTTTTTAATAGATTACATAGCATTTCTGTTATTACATACTCTGCACGTTGACTTCGACCCTCGATCCATCCATCCATCCATCCATCCATCCATCCATCCATCCATCCATCCATCCATCCATCCATCCATCCATCCATCCATCCATCCATCCATCCATCCATCCATCCATCCATCCATCCATCCATCCATCCATCCATCCATCCATCCATCCATCCATCCATCCATCCATCCATCCATCCATCCATCCATCCATCCATCCATCCATCCATCCATCCATCCATCCATCCATCCATCCATCCATCCATCCATCCATCCATCCATCCATCCATCCATCCATCCATCCATCCATCCATCCATCCATCCATCCATCCATCCATCTATCTATCTATCTATCTATTCATCCATCATCCATCCATC